ATACCTTCTGGGCATGGAACTATTGTTTCCTGATCAATTCAAGTGTTTTTGAAGAAGGTTGAGAATGCAGGTTGCAGAATATGGAATAGAAAAACCAAAAATGATACAATCTGCAAAGAGAAATGAAATTAATTCTACTTTAATTTATACTTTACAGCAAAGAGGCTAAAAATTTTTAAATACATATGAGAATTCAATTTAATTTAATTATTAAGGGAATTTATTTATATGAATTTTATTTCATTTTCAAACTAAAAGATAAAGAACAAAGGAAACAAAAGTTGACTTAAGGAATAACTTGCATATTTACAGAAATTTTAGGTTAAAATACTTAAAAACTCTTAGATCTATAAATGACAATGAGAAAAAAAAAAATGGAGAATCTGATTATCGAATCAAAACATAATTAAGTAGATACTACCAATTAAAAAAATGCATTAAAGATATAATATATAGATTTATTTATATAGTGAAATGCATCAAAGAACTTCATAAAATCAATCATATCCATTTATGTGATACATTGAGAAATAAATATGCTTGCTATAACTGAGTTGACCTTGAAATAAGTAGGAGTAGACACTACCAACTGAAAAAAAAGATATATTGTCATATGTAGATCTAAAAAAAGAGACAAAAATCAATTGTAAAATATAGTTAATTTAAAAAAGACCATAATTACAATTTTCTCAAAATGACTAAGAATGACTTTAATAAAGATAAATCTAACAAAAGGCTTCTTCATAAATTACTCCGATATATACTTTTTAGTTGCTTCAAAGATTTTCAAAGAAGATACAATAAAAGTAAAAACTAGAAAAGAAAGGCACTCTAAAACCTGTCACTTTGGAGGAGAATGAGGAGAAAGGTTATAATTCAAAGAAAGAAAATATACTATATACTAAGCTTAAATAATTTAGTGATGAAGTTAGCAAAGCTTATATTAAAATCAAGGTTTTGAGAGAAGCAAAAATCAAGGTGAAAAAAAGAAGAAGAAATAAAACACATAGTGATTGAAATATATATACCAGCTGGCTTAGAACTTGGGCTTCCTTAATTACAAGGTTTGAGAGACAAATTGCAGATAGTAGAATATGTAGTGGATCTGACCAACATGATGCAATCTGCAGAAAATAATTTAAATTTAGATGATAAGTGGTACTAAATTGTAGTAGGACATGAAATCAATGGCTGAAAAGTATGTTGGGAAACGAAAAAGAGGACCGAACCATTGGTGAAGCTATTTGAAGGTGAATCTCATCGGTTGCATAAGAAAATATGTGAGGCAGCAATGAAGATCAAGGAGACAGTGAAAGAAAACAAGTGGGGATAGCTTTTTGTATTTGAATCTGCTTAGCGGAGAAGGAAAGCAGTGAAATTAAGAAACGGTTTTCCTAACCGCGGAGAATAACCTTGTTAATTTCCCTTTTTATGTAAATAATTATAAAAGAATTACAT